AATAGAACCCGATTCGAATCTAAATCCGGGCTTACGAGATAAACAGTCTATTAGGGGTTGCAGTAACTCCCCCAAGCGAAACTTGGACCGGCCTATAACGATCAGATCAAAGGTATCGGATTGACGAGGACCCTCGCGACTATCCTGGCTCGATTTATAAACTGCTGGTGTGTCTTCTTTCCGCCTTCGATTCAATTTACTGGAAATTTTATATCTCTAATCGGCCACAGTTTCAAATAATAACGTTCATATTTGTTAACAAGGTTACTTATAAATTATTTATGAATTATGGGATAACTAACATTCTTTAATGATGTTATTCACCGCGCCTCAGATTTGCCAAAAATTATTATTATGGGTTCAATTTGTATCTGTGATCTGTTATAAAAATTTAACACCAATGATATTTATATCCTTCAAAGAAGTTATTTGTCAAGTTTCAAACTTGACCGAAGTTATTAGAATTGCTATTACAGAGTTACCCGTGTGAAGTGAAATCTATCTATCGAATTTTATCAGAGACAATCTCACTTCCCACGCGAAAGTCAATCTTTTACATTTCGATTTACTTATGTCTCGTGCAATGAGATTCTTGACTGTCTTACTTTTTTAAGAGGGCGATTTCATCGAGTATTCAATTTGCCAGAAATTCTTGTCGTTAGAAACACGATTCGAATAAAATATCATTTGTTCCTGCCTGAGTGGGAAAGAAAGTTTCGAAAACTTACGAATCGAAAGCTTACTGTCGGCTTAATCTCGCAAAGAGCCGGATAATTACCAGCTGCAGAGGATACCGTAGATGTCACGCAATCCGTTTAGTAATTAATGTCGAAATATCACGAATTTCGGCATTCCCCGGTCCTTAGCGGGAACAATGGGATCCCTTCGGATATCACGTGATGGCTTCCGGCGAAAAATTGACGTTCAAAGCCAAGATGAATGCGTTTGGCTGCGTGAAAACGCAAAACGGACAGGCAAATGGATCTCGCGCGACATCTGGATTAAAAAGAAAGCCAAAACAAATCGTTTGTGGAAAATGGTGCGCGGATGTTCGATAATTAAATTAATTAAATTAATATGATAATTAAATCGATAATTAAATCGGTACCGAAGTACAAAACGTTAGCGCGTCTCAAGGAAAATCGATCGTAAATAAACAAAAAGTCTTTTCTATGAATATGATCGTATGTTTAATCGTGTTTAATGTCAAGCGTTGGCGTGTTAATTATCGAATCAAGACGCGTGGGTGCCGTTCAATTTGATCGTTTTGTATCGTTTGTATCGTGCTCGTAGTAAACCGTAGTTTCATAAATTTTCAACGTAGATGCCAATGGCTTTGCACTATGGCTTTCATTATATCAAGATGAAATCAGTTCCTTTTCAGGGTATTTTAAATTTTGCGCTCTTGGCCGAACAACACGCCGTGGTACTCTTTCTTCCGAAAGTAATGCGAATGAATGACATCGATCGACAATTCACTCAGTTCATCCTGAGAAACTTTGAATTGAACTCGCAACTCTCGTGCTCATCACCCCGTGCTCGGGACCATTTTCAGCGAATATTGCGTACTCTTTCATTACGTACATTTGTGATAAATACCCCGCAACTTCAAAGTGATTTTCATTGGTGAGAACAACAAAGCAAAAATTCGATTTTGTAGATTTCGTAGACACGTGCGTCTAGAAGAATGCGTCTTGCGCGTTCGAATACTTTCGCGAGGCGTTTTAAATTGTTTTCAAAATTCTGCCCCCCTCCTGACCCCCTCTGTTTAAGCAACACGGCGAGTAATAACGAATAGAATAGAATCGACAATTAATTCGTTCAGCCAGGAGACGCAGCGTGGAAACTGTCGGCTGGACCCTCGACTCGCGTGCTACTCGTGCAAGGACCAATTTTGAGCAGATCGCGCCCACTCAAAACACCATTAAGCTCGAGTTCTAGTTCA